GTCAAATTCTCATGAAATGTTCTAAATCATGAATATGATATAGGAAAATGAATTTGCTTTCTAAATAAACAGATTTTATTAAATAATTTTATGTGTTTTTTTTTTTTCCTTCTTTGCATGTGATCACCAATTTATTTTTTACACATTTTGATTTTCATTTTTAAAAACATTGCATTTTTTTTTTCACAACTTCTAAGTATTGACACTATGTGTTTGAAAACAAATATTTTTAGAAACCTCATGCATTTCCCCACAATAATATATATAACATCATGAATTTTAGACAAGGATTCTAAAAGTTATTGACTCTTTTTTAAGGTCACTAGAAATCTCATGAAAAACATGCAAAATTTAAATTCAAGGAACTAAAGAGTTAAATTAAGGCAATGAAATTTAAGCGCGAATAATTATTTCTAGTGACATAAAATTAAAACTTCCTCTTTACCTGATGGAACTAAAGGCTTAAAATTGCGTCTTTTTGTTCGAATACAATAACCATTTAACAAAATAGTACAAGATTTTTTTTTTTTAATTTACATTTCATGATTCTTTTGTCATTTACGACGCCATTGTGGGAAAACAAGGAGAACTCTTCTGTTTTCAAAGATACGTTATAAAAGTAGCCCAATAGGATAAATTTAGATTTAAATTTTTTAAAATATTTTTATTTTATAAATCTATCTACTTTGTCTGATATTTCTTTCTAGCCCACTGGATCCATGCACAGCCATGTAAAGGTGGTACTCGCAAAGGACCTCAATATCAGGGGGTGCATTCGCCCAGGGCACTTAAAAAAAAAAAAATTACAATGAGGGGTGGCATTTTCGGCGAGCTGAAGAGTTTTTTTGTTTTTTTTTAAAACTTAGTGGTAGTGGGTAGCACAACTCTCTAGTTAACATATCGCAACATAATCCCTGGTCCGCTCGTAACGTTTCCCAGATCTACTCATTATGAGGACACGTAACACATAAACCAACGCTTGGACATTGGTCGCTCTTTGTTGTTGGTGAAATTCTATAACGTGGTCCATTAATAATTAAATTAATATTTTTACTTTTCGAAAATTCAAATGAAAACAATAAATGTATCTAAATCATCTTGATTACTATATTTAAAAAAAAAATGTTCTACGAAAATGGCTTAAACAAAAAAATAAAATTAGAAAGAAAAAAACAACTGCCTGCAATAAGAAATAAAAACAACCAAAAAGAATAAAACTATGAATCTATGAAATAAGGAGAAAAAACACTTTAAAAAAAAAAAATTATCATACTATTATTGTTATCACACCCGGCTCCGAAGTCATTTAATCTATATGGAGCCACTCCGCGTCCAAATAGTTATTTGTCGCTATAAGTACCCGGGTACCTATTGGTCACAGCCTATCCGTAAACCATTAGTGACGCGCAAAAGCAACTTTTAAGTTTGCCCCTGCTTAAGTCTCTTCTTTAAAAAAAATAAAATCATTTTATGTAACCTACAGATGAATATTCATTAAAGCTTTAGTCTTAAGTCTTAAGCCCTCTAATTTCTAATGCTTCACAAAATTTTACATTTCATCATCATTTAGGCCTAATTCATGCATCATATTATAATAATAATCTGTCCACTTATCCTTGTGCTACCCCCCCCCCCCCCCCCGTTATTAAAAGGAATACACCGCAATTTATACTTTAAAAAAACAACAAATAAACAAACAAACAAAAACATACTGAGTAAAATGCTCCCTTTAAGCTGCGCGGCCGCGCAGCTATCTCACAGACGCCGCGCAGCAGTTTTTGAGTATCCGCGCAGCAAATGTCTATGTAAGTGTGTGTATGTGCTTGTGCCCTGTAAAATTTTGCCCACACAAAAATTTATGCTGTAAAACTTTGCACACAACTGTATGATTTTGCACACGAACCAGCAAACCTTAGAGGGGAACATTGACTGAGTATCTATTTGAAAAAAGAGTGAGGGGTGGGATGTCAGCGCCATTAAGGAGTATTAACTACTAACACCGTTAGTTGGTGAGAAATCAAATAAAAGTAAAATGTTTTTATAGCCTCGCGATTTTCTTTTTTTTTTTTATAAAACTCAAAATCACCATGCTTTATATTATTATTCTATTATCCCATTCTGACTTTCTAAAAGATAATAAAATGAGGTAACTAATTATAAAAAGTGTTGGACTGCGATAAAGCTTTAAAATAGATTAATAAGACACGAACAAATTGTGTCAATAGAACAATATGAGTTAGCTTTAATAATAATTATACACAATTAAACTTCCTTTCTACTTCTCTTTACTTTGTTTTTGTCTGGTTTTAGCGCCCTCTCCTATATTTTTTTCTGTTTTAGGTAGGATATGTATATTGATATTATTTAAATTTAATTTATACTTATTTAAATGTGTTTTGTTTGTTTGTACTGATGAAGGCATGTGCCGAAACGTTTAATTGTGTATAATGTATTATTATTAAAGCTAACTCATATTGTTCTATTGACACAATTTGTTCGTGTCTTATTAATCTAAAATGGGGTACGATTTTATCATTCTATGTATTTTATAAATAAGTCTATAAAACATTGAATTTAAGGGGGTGGGGGGAGCAATGTAAATATACATACACTCAGAGCCTTCTATACACCTAGGCCTATCGCCAGGGACAGAGTTTTGTAGCCAATGCGCTCACTCACAGGAAGCCAATGGAGATCTTTCAGAACTTAGGTGATGTGGTCAGATTTTTTAAATACGTGATACAATGCGTGCTGCAGTATTTTGTACCTTCTTGAGTCTCTGAATTTGGTTTTGAGGTAAACCCCACAAACAACTGTTACAGTAATATAATCTTGCTTGGATTAGAGTTACTGCTACGGCATTAGCCGCTCTCTTATTAAGTTGAGGAAGCAGCTGACCCAGAGCGCGAATATGACAGAAACAAGCCACTGGATGAGGGATCATAATAAGTTTGCTGTCAGTGTAGAAGCCAAGGTCTCTAACCGTATTGGACATTGTGATCTCAGAAGCACCAACTTTTATCGATGTGATATCAACCTTCCGAATATTGGCATCAGAACCAAGTAGCCTCTGTCTTATCGTCATTTAATTTAAGCCCACTTGATGCCATCCATGATTTCACCACAAGACAGCAGTCCTCGGCAGCTTGCACAGCGGCAGCAGCACAGTCCAAAGGTTCAGGGCGATGGTTTATGAACGATGCTTTAGTAAAAGAAGTAATATGCATTTTTTATTTTTAATACGTTATCCTTAATATTGCAATATACTATTACCGCGCTTCGAGCATTTGGGGATGAAGCGTGTTTTTGAAATAAACTTTATTATTATTATTATTATTAGCTTTACCAGGTGGCCGGCAACCACATTTCGCTTGAAAAACCATCACATACATTTTAAATAGTATTTATAATTTATATGGATTAAATAAATGAAATCTTTCTTGAAAATTATCTTTAATTTTGTCTGTATTTATTTGTTTTATTTTTGTTCTTATTTTTTGTTTATTTCATATATTTGAAATGAGCATACTGTCGACACACGATATAATTTGAATTATACTTCAAGCGTTTTGGGGAAAAGGGAAATCCAAATTTTTTTCTGACTACGCTTATTATTGGCAGAAACTTAGCAATCTATAGAGTTACTAATTTTAATATTTTACATCAACTAGAGAAATTTTCAAAGTGTTGCATCAACTATTCAGTGCTGGTTTTGTTCTTTAGTGTAAAAAGGGGGTGGGAGTAGGGCTGCTCTGCCCATTTTGCTTGACATGGATCTTTTTACGGGCATATTTATTTTCGCCTACATGGTTGGGGAGATGAGTAAAATGAGGGTTTGGGGAGATAAGAAAAGCCAGGGTTGGTGAGAAGAGGAGGGAAACCAGTGGTTGGGAAATTAGGAAAAAATCAGGATTAGTGAAATGAGGGAAAACCAAGGTTGGTGAATTCAGTGAAAACCCGGGGTTGTTAAGATTATTAAGATAAGGACAACCAGAAGTTGGGGAGATGAGGTAAAACATGGATATTGGCATGGGCGCCCGCAGAAAACTTTCTAAGGGGGGGGGGGGCAAAAATCGATTAACTTTCCAGGGGGGGGGCAAAATTTTTTAGTAATGTTTTAATATAGTTTTAATAAACTGTAGCGTATTTGTATGGTGAACGAATGGACAGGACATCAGCTTAGTTACTTTCTCTTTATTTTCTCTTTACTCTATTAAATGTTTTGTCAAAAAAAATTTTATCCAATCAATACAGGGGTTGGGGCAAGTGCCCCCTTGCCCCCCCCCCTGCGGGTGCCCATGGATATTGGTAAAAGGAGGGAAAATCAGGGATTGGTGAAGTTAGGGAAAACCATAGTTGGTGAAATAAAGAGGAACCAGGAGTTGATGAGATGAGAAAACCAGGGAACGTTGGGGAGATGAGGTAAACAAGGGGTTGGGGATATGAGGAAAAAAAAACCTGGGGCTGTTGAGATTAGAGAAAGCCAGGGGTAGGTGAAATGAGAGAAAACCATGGTGAGGTAATAGTTGTTTTAAGGCCAGAGGTTTGTGAAATGAGCGAAAACATGGGGTTGTGAAATAATGGAAAACAGAGGGTTTTGGGAGATGAGGTAAACCAGGGGTTGGCGAGATTAGGTAAACCCGGGTTTGGTGAGATGAGGAAACCCTGGGTTTTGTGAGATAAGGAAAACTTAGGTTTGGTGAGATGAGGGTGGCCTAATCCTAATGATAATGACAAAGGAAAAACATATTTTTTAAAAATTCGTCGACCCCTGAATGAAATAAATTATAAGTCAATTTTTTTTCAAATATATTTTAAAATGAATTGTTACTTTTGTAGGGGATGCGAGAATTATTAAAACCAATCGTTAGGGGTATGAGACCATTCAAATATTCCGCAGGGGGTGTGGAGTCTAAGAAAAAGGTGGCATGCAAAAGATGTAGATAGATGAGCTATAATGTTATCGCTTAGTAACTACAACGAGCTGTGACCCGGAAATTCAACAATATGTAGGAGTTCTAAAAATGGCGTCATCCTCGCAATATTTATTCATAGCTTTGCTAATATTTTTAAATTTTAAAGCTATGGCACAGAAAATTGAACCGTCTTATCAACAGAGAGCCATACTGCAGCATAGAACTGATGCTTTAACTATTCTTATGTTACTAGGGCTATTGTTATTTACTATATTGACTGTCTGGTTGTTCAAACACAGACGGGTTCGTTTTGTTCATGAAACTGGCTTGTCAATGATTTATGGTGAGTTGAGTTGAAAATACACTATTTACGAAATGCGATGCGTAACATCTACCACCATGATTAGATTAAGAAATCAAAATGTCGTTGAAAAATATGATTTTGACTTGAATTTTCACTAACATTTATTAACTTATTAAATTAGTATTGTATGAATTCTATTAATTTCTATCATCACTCACTAGTCACTAGTCACTCACACTGATTCAGCATCTCAGATTATCTGTGAGTAGTGGGAGTGTGATTAATGTGACTGAAACGTTTATCAGTTCAGTTTGTATGAGTGTCACAATCACAATGAAAAAATGAATGATAATCATATGAAATTTTTATAATCATACTCATGACAGTAAAAAATAATATTTATTATAGCAACTTCAGACAGTAGGCTATCTTTATTATTATAGGCTACAATGAGGCTAAGCCAGAAGGTTTTTTTTAATCTAAAAAGTGACATAGTCTTATTTATAGTCATAATAATAATTATAGTCATTTGTTAGATACACCAGATCAAGTTTTAAAATTCAAATACACTGACATGTCATGCACAACTAGCAAGTAACACATATCGGATCGATAGAAAAAGTTGGCTTTCAGTTCAGCTTTCCAAAGACACTGAGATCATATTTTTATAACTTCTAAAAGAAAAGTTATGAATTTTTTAGTAATTGAAATTGATTTTTAAAAATTGTTTTTACTACTCCAGACTTTGTATATAATATGTTAAAGCCAAAGGCTGTGATCGAATAATTACACTTTTTCAACTAATTTGTTTGTAGCATTTTCCTTTTTAAAGATATAATAAGCAAACTTTGATGACAAATTTAAAAAACATTATTGAACAAACAAAAAAACACTAACACATGAAAATTATTATTATATTATTCTTTTATTTCATTTATAAAATATACTTTTATTTGGATCTGTTGGGAATGACAGTTGCTTAATTTTAATTTTAAGTGATATATTTATTAAAACTAATGAAGCTATTGCTATGAAATTTTCAGTAGAAACAAATAATGTCTAACTGAATACATATCAATTTATGGCAATTGTCTTTTTATTGTGCCACCTATTTCCGCACTGCCGCCATCTTTGTTGCCATGACAGCAGATTTGTAAAAAAAAAAAAAGTAGTCAAAAACACGTCTGATAAAAGTGGGGGGAAGAGGGAGAATGTGTTGTTTTAGCTACTTACAGAGAGAAATGAAAATTAGGGAACAAAACATTAAAATTTAATAAAATAATTTTTTGAGAAATATCTTCAATCCTAAAATCTACTACTCCACCTAACCTAAATGTTAGTCAGTATCTCTAACTCAAGCATAAATTCCCTCTAAGTAAAGTCCGTCCAACTTGTGTGTAAATTTAATGCTAAATATAATATTCCCTATCTTAAGCTAAATTTAGTCCCCTCTAACTTAAATTTAGATCTTCAAACCTAAAATCTATGACCTTACTCCTAAGATGAACCCTAAAACCACATGCACATGTGCTACAGTTGCACACTGTACTATACTGAGAAAATATTAAATTTGAATAGATTAGATATTCAAAATAATGAAAACCCAACTTACAGTTTCATCAAATACACCTTTACATACTTTATTGCAGGTTGCACTAAAAATAAAATTGAAATCTTATAAGAAAAATCAATACACATTCCATGATGCTGGAAAATTTTAGCCTCATTTTAAATGTTTTAATTAATCATCGAATTAAATATTGAAAATAGCTTGTTTTAAGTCCCATTTTTGTCAACTATTTTGTCTTTTTTTTTACACTGGTCAAAAGCAATTTCATTAAAAATGGACTCAGATGATGAATTTCTTAGCAATTTAGATGTATTTTGGCATAATTCTTCGGTTCATTACGCTTACTGTCAACTTATAATCATAATTTTCAGCGTACTGGAGGGAAATTTCATGAGGATATACGTTTTTTTTTATACTCTATGCATGGTGGATATATAGTGTTTATTGGAAGTTTCAAGCTAGACTAAAATAACAAATACAAAAAGAATATAATACAGTCTACAAGTCTCACTGATTTTGGCTCTAAATAATGTATACTTATATAAGGAAGAAGATCACACCGGCTTTTAGTTTTAGAAAGCTTAACATGTAAAATTAAGCCATGCCGTTATGATAAATAAGAATAATGATTAACACTAGTGATTGATTGATGGAAAAATTAATTATATTTTATTGTTAAATAGCAATTAAAAGAACACTTACGAACATTGCAGATCTTGTTAAGAATTGCACAAACAGATTTGTAATTATGGTTTACTCCTCAGTTGAATTTATAGCACCACCAGTTTTGAATGTGTGTCTTGTGCAAGAATATTTCTTTTCTAATTCAGTGAATTCCTCTAACGCACATAAGCCTGTACAGCCATACAACTCGTACAACAGGTAAACCATACGGTTTCGCATGTATATTCTATACTAATGAACTCTGAATATGTTTTCACAGGCCTCATTGTTGGTGCCATCATACGTTACACAAGTGATCCCAAGCACATACCCAGTGTTGAAGCAGCCCTGAACGCCAATGAATCCTACACATCATTAAATCCACCAGAATACATTTCTATTTATCTCAATCGATCCAATAGCTCTAATGCCCCGTCAGACAGAATCATCTACGCATTTAAGGGGGCGGTCGCAGCTTTAGAAGAACCTCCTCTAGAGCGAGCAGTAAGTGAGAACATTAAGTCAAAACATATTGATGTGAACTATGAAAATGTCGCAGTCAGTAATTACTCACAGTAATACTTTTAAAGAATATTTGATTTAAGGTTGTCTTTAAAAATTTGTATTATTTTAATATTTGTTGAACTGCAAAAGTATGATTACGAGGTGTTACATGTAACTGTAATTAAAAAACTAGTGTACTTTTTTAGAGCTTGATTCATTTTTTTTTTCTTAAAAAAAACAAACTATTCAATATAACATTTAAGAGGGCAAAACCAATATTTTAAAAATTAATTATTAAGTCATAGTTATTTCTCAGATGTTAAGAAAAACTTGATAAATTTTTTTTTCTCCCTCCAGGTGACATTCTCCCCTGAGTTGTTTTTCAATGTTCTGCTTCCAGTTATTATTTTCAATGCTGGATATAGTATGAAAAGGGTAAGAATGTACTGTCATTGTAATTCTCCATCAAATTGTTGTCACCTGTAATAGTAAGAATAAGTTCATTGTTTGAACTGTAATTTTTAAACAAATGGTTGTTACCTTTAAAAGTAAAGTCTATGCATGAAATTAAAAGGGTAAAAAAAAATATTTTTTGGTCAAATTGAAAAACTTAATATTATCAAAAAGCTTTTTACTAATGCAATCAGTTAATTAAGTTGGGGAAGTTGACATTTCAGACCATTAATTCAGTTATTTGTGGGGAGTTGACTCATCAACCCAGTAATGTAGTTATTCTCAGAGGGCAAACAATGAGTAAGCAAACCCTCAACCACAAAAGTCAGAAAACAAAAGCAAATGTGGAAAGTTTTTAAAATTTTGCTGTCTAGGTGTGACACACATACAAATAAAGATACCTCTGTTTCAATTGACGACTAACTCATATAATCAACCTGTATAGTTTACCCGCGGAAGCGGAGCGTCTCCGAGGAAACTTGGGGGCGTCCACATGGGGTTTTGCCTCTTCGTGACATGGCGGACTAGTAGGGAGGTTCCTCCCGAAGCTAAAAAACCCCAGCCACTGCATGACTCCCAACGCAACGGGAGGACCGCAATAACATGATTACTTGTAGCCGTTAATGGACATGAATCTGGGTGGCGGTCAAAACCCTTGCAGATGAATTTAGCTACGGGGCCCTGAGAAAGCCGCTCCTATTCAACAGTTTTGTCCCCACCTACGTCCCGACTGGACAACTCCCTGGATGGTGGGGGGAGATAACGCAACACCTTCCCCTCGGAGAGAAAGCAAAGCCGTTCAGACCCAAGGAGAGTGGAACGCGAACGCTTTAAATGCAGCGTTTTCAGTCGACTGGACGTACCCCAGGTTAGGGGGGAGGTTTCCGACGTGCTTCCGCACAGTCTGGCAGCGGGGAGATCCGGTGTCGGCCGGTGTGGGGGTGGGGCGGGGGGTTATTATGAGCTCACGCTCGACGACCCACCGACGTCATCTCCAATGTGACGTTATTAGTATACCCATACTTTGATCGGGTGTTGAACATTTTTCGAGTTGTATGGCAGAAGGGGAAATTATTCATAAAAATTGGGCCCGTCAAGAAGGCAAAGGTTTGCATGTATAAAAAACATTGAAAATTAAATGTTGAAAAATTTTACTTTGTTTTGAATTTTATTTTTTTATCTTGTATGGTTTTCTTAATATTTTTTTAACAGTTTTTCATCCCATCAGTTTGGCATGTTTGCTAACTAAAAACAATAGTTACTTACACATACTCAATTTTAGCTTAATTTTACTCATGATTTTTACATAATTCAATGCAATTGAAGAAAACTTTGTTCTAGAGCGTTCCATATTCTTTAAATGTATAATTTATTTTTCTTATTCAACTGTTGATCCTTTATATCTTTAAAAATTTTTTAGAAACATTTCTTCAAAAATTTGGGAGCTATCCTCATGTATGCCTTAATTGGTACAACAATCTCTGCTCTAGTGGTTGGGTAAGTTACAGTGCATAATGTAAAGTGGAAAGAAAATTTTGTGAAGTTGATCAGTTAGTTACCTGAAGTGTTTGCAAACAAAAAAAAATAAACATATTTTTATTTTTCCAGACAACCTAAATCCTATTTTTTTTTAAATTAATTTTTTTTATATACATTTGTGTACAATGCTATGAACTGCATGCCACCTGTCCTTTCCTTTTCCAGAGGAATAATGTATGGACTCACACGACTGATGAAAGAAATTAATATCACACTTAATGAATGTTTTGTTTTTGGGGCCTACCTGTCAGCCACAGATCCAGGTAGGTTTAGTTTTACAAGCTGAATCTGTTAGAAGAAACCTGGTAAGTCTTTTTCTCCCATTTAAAAGGGTAAGATAAAATATACTTACAGGCATTATTGCATTCTGCCACCCCCCTAAATAGATGAAGAGCTTTTGATTAAATCACTTTCAACCAAAGAGAGGCTGTGTGTTTAATTTTTTTTGGTCTTTTGTTTGTTAACAGGGACAGCAGAAAGCCAACATTTTAATTCTCTAGTTCTGCAGATTTTAACTCTAATTTAACAAAAGAGTTTCATTTTCTTTAAAAAGTCCAAGCTTATACTTTCAAACTTTGCTGGTCCCAGAGCTGTTTTTAGTGGATCTGCCAAAAAATAAAAGCATCCATTTCAATTAATAATACATTTAAAATCTTTAGTTAGCTGATCGGCTGTGGGGTCAACCTGAAAAAAAATTGCATTGGGTGAAAAGAGAATCTCCAGATTCTTCAAGCTTAAGAACTAATAGATCAATTTGTTTATTCAGCATGTTGAAGTGAATGCACGTGATCCACAAATTTAATAAAATTAATCACTATGGACATACGTTCTCTTCATTTATCACCATGCACCGAATTTTCCTTGATTCACAGTGACAGTCTTAGCTTTATTCAATGACCTCCATGTAGATGTAGACTTGTACGCCCTGGTCTTTGGAGAAAGTGTCCTCAATGATGCAGTGGCCATTGTTTTATCGGAGTAAGCTTAATTACTATATTACTGCAGGATATACATTTTAATAGCCTACATTAACATTTAATTACTTTATTACTGCATGCAATACATTTTATAGACTCATTAACATTCAAATACTGTATCACTGCATGCAATACATTTAATAGCCCCATTAACTCTTTCCCTCCGGAATTATTTTCCACGTTCTGACGGAATAATCTATTTCGGGTTTTTGTTACGCACTACTATGTTTTCTCTAAACCTTCATAACTTTTTTGTTTTTAATCAGAAAATGTTAATATTGGTATGGAATTAAAGGGAAATGCATGCTCTTTGCAAACAAACAAGATTTGGGTTTAAATTTTAATAAATAAATGTGATTGTGATTTAAGGAAAATAAAAATTTATTTAAAAAAACTCACCAAATGTTCACAAAACGCTCCTTTGAAGTCACACAAAGAGAAATATATAATCCAAAGTGTAATAAAAATGTTTTTTTTTTCTGAACTATATCCATATGTGCATCACAAATAATAAAGATCAACTTTCAAAAAAGAAAAAATTAAACCTCAGAGCACATTATTCATTGTCACCACCACACAAAAAATTAGAAACAAAATTTAACTAATTCCACTGGAAACAATCTGTTGATATTTAAAAAATAATTGCACTGTATCCTTGTATGTACTAAAATTTATAATAGTAAATGGAGAATTTACCATACATTAGTCACATATTTCCATCTGAGTTTAGCAATAGTAAGCCTAAAAAACAATCCATATGGATGTGCCCTTTAGCTGGGGGGCGGGGCTGGTTGTTCATCAGCTGATGAATTACCAATTTCATTATTTTGTCACTAGTACTACTAATACTAGTACTAGGATTATAATCATACGATTCAACAGAATCAGCCTCTGCATTTGAAATCATAAAATCACTGTCTGAATCATCATAAGAGTAATATTTCCCACCTTTATTACATTGATCGCCAGATGGGTCAGGTCAAGATTTCATGTTTGTAAACAAAAATAAAATGGACAATCAAAACAACCGCTTCAAACAATTCGTTCTTCGCTCAATCACAGAAAAACCGGATGTTTATGAAAGGGAAATCATTCTAGAATTGATTTAAAATAACTAAATACCAATAGCTAAGAAAAGAACCGAAATAAACAGGTTTTTATACATCGACGATCCCATCGTCGATACGCCGAACTCTTCATTTCAAATCGACGATGGGAGCGTTGATCAGGAGGGAAAGAGTTAACATTCAAATACCAATTCTAACCATTAAATCTTTTTGTAAAGGAAGAATTAAAATTATTTTCTTTAAAATCTCCTCTCACAAGTGTGATCATTTTTCAAGTAAGACTAATGTACTTAATGAAGCATTTTGTATTCGTTTCTAGATTTTGCTAAAATCTTAAAACTCTTAACTGGACTATTACCATTTTTTGTATGCATTGAAAGAGACTGTTTCGTTTGTAGTTATTCATTTTAATTAAGTTCTGGGTGTGCCACATGGTAATTATATTCCTTTCTTTCTATAATAACAAAGCTGCTCTGGTCATGCTTCATTTCAGATCAGTGGAGACCTACGGTCAGTACTCCTCTGATGCTTTCAGTCTCGAGGCATTTTTCAGTGCATTAGGAAAATTTGCTGGAGTCTTTACTGGAGCGTTTGCCATCGGCACATCCATGGGAATCATCACAGCATTTGTATCCTTTGATTTATGTGTTGGCTCAACAATTGTTGAACCTACGATCTCAACTTTAAACATTTTTTAAAATAGAACCAAGGTGTTTTTTAGAATAAATATGACTACATCCATCTGTTTTATCTTATTGTAAAAACAAACTTTTTAGACCAGCTTGAGTGCAGGCCACCCTTACTAAATGTGTTGCTTTACTGGGTTGACCAGATCCATCGCATGATTCCAATATTAGTAATCTTTGAGGATTTGAGTTATAGAAGTGAAGATGAGGTATGCGTACATCATAGGGTTTGGGGAAAAACTAGTCTGGCATAAAATGTTTTCACATTTTATGGTTCTTTTCTGTAACTTATTTTATTGAAACTGAAGAAATAAGTGTACAAAAATATAGTCCTTTCAATTATCTTTCATTTGATACCAAATTTTATAAACCAAAGGATAATATTTTAAATATTTTTTAATAAACCCAACCTCTCACTCTTTTTTGCACTTTGAAAAAAATTTACATTTTTTCGATTAAAAAATTCCACAGCGAAAGAGTTAAATAGTTTAGCTAAGCCAAGATTTATTTTTTTTCTTTAAAAACTGAATGGCCAGATCTATATTATCACTAATTATGGCAATATTGTCACTAAGGGAGTTCTTTGATGGCTGATTTCTACTCAAGAGAAATACTTTGGATGTCTTGTGTTTAAATTGTTATTATTGTAAAATATTGTCATGGTTAAAATATGTATTTATTTATGTGCAGAAAATGAATATGTGCAATGGAGCCAAAGAACATTCCCATTTATTTGGATCTATACAAGAATATATATTATTTTTCTTATCTCTGCTATGTTATGACATTGTTTTCTTTAAGATGGAAATTTTTTAAAATTCTTACTTTTTAGTATGTTTAAATTTTTTATATAAGAACTATATACATATAGCCTTGTGGTAAAAAATTGCCTTGACCTTTGACCCAGCTGACAAAATTCACCAAAGTGAGGGATTTCCCTCTGTTGGAGACAGCTCTCTTCTTTTTAATGTCTTACAGCACATTCCAAGCTGCTGAGGCTGCAGACCTGACAGGTAAATTCAACTACTCATGTCATTATTAATTAGGGCTGAGCCTTCTGCAGTGATTCGTAAGGGTCTGGGTAATTTGAGACCATAACCAGTGGGTCCGGGTATTACCTATTCAGGAATTATCTGTATAAAACAAGAATTTTGTTACACCCATTGGGGAAACATGAAAACCACACGCATAGGCAGAACCATGACCAACGTTGATCCCGAATGCATGAGAGTTGAAGGCTTCATAACACTCGTAGCATAGTACCCTAACCCAAAATCATTAAAAAAAAATAATAAAGCATGGGGCAGAACTGCGCTATATGCTGCACGAGTGCTGCTATTGGCTTGGTTGGGAGTGGTTTTCATTTACCCTACACCAATTTTACAAACAAATGATGTTAAAAAATGTGCATTTAACTTTTGAAATGCTCGGACCCAGTTCAGTTTTACAACCCTGGGGGCAGGTGTGTTCTGGGTGTGCAACTCTCTGCATTTCTGGTGTCCAGGTCAGCACCCAGGTCATTCCTAGTTTCTAAATCAAACATAAAATTAAGTCGATGAAATATGCCAAACTTAAACATAGATGAAGCAAGATGGAATCATTAGAAGAAGAAAAAATTCAATCCACAAATGGTTTTATGTCTCACATGAGCCAAAGAGCCCTGAAAGAATTATCTGCATGGTTACGTAATTAGACAATAATACAATGCTGACACCTAACACCTGACTTGCTCTAATACCATGTTGACACCTAACAGCTTGTGTAATCACTGTCCTCAGGTATTGTTGCCGTGTTGTTCTGTGGCATCACACAGGCTCACTACACATACAACAACTTGTCCATAGAATCAAAGTATAGATCTAAACAGGTGAGTCATGCATTATTTTGACAGGATATTTGCTCCTAAATTAACAACAAAAATAAATAGTAAAATAAAATGGAGTGAAACATTTCTGAAATTTAAAATAATCTTAATGGAAGCCTTTTCTTCTTCTTCAGGTATTATATATATTTTTATTTCCTTATATTGGGTGCTCTTTAAACCTCCACTTTTGATTTCAAAACTTTTCCTGCATCCACCCCCTCTCCCCACCATCTCGATTTCAAATCCATAAATCCCGCACCCCATGATAAAAAAAACTAATAACAAAAAAACCCTGCCTCTCGCATCCCCCTGGTTAAGAACCCCTGCCTCATATGGTATTTATCTTACCTTGTAGGATTATTTATCTTTATAAAGTATTAAACAGCAAACCCGTCACCAAACAGTATGTCTCATTCACATAATCTGAGACGGTCTTTCAAAACTAAATGTTGAATTTGACCCCTGTGTTTCACCAGAGCATTTTTGGTGTATACAATTATTTATAACTAACTTTACTTTTTTCCCTCCCGCCAGCTGTTTGAACTGATGAATTTTTTATCAGAAAACTTTGTCTTTCTCTACATTGGAGTTTCCATCTTCACATTTGATGCCAACAAGTGGGATGCTGGCTTCATTTTTGCAGCATTCGTATCCTTTCAATAACTATTGGGTACATTCACCAACGAGAAAACTTTTTATTAAGAGTAGATCGGGTGGGTGAGTATCATTTCTGCTTTCATATCATTTGTTTGCTGTCATGGTGTGGCCGAGTAAACATGGAATCGGGGGGACGTCACCGTGAGTTGAGAGGAAAAAAATATTCAGAGTAGAAGTATAAATTTTATTTTAAAACTATATCATTGGGTCTGTTTTAATTAACCCTACTTAACTTATACTGGAATCGAGTTTAGAAACAAAAAAACATGGTTTCGGAAGCAAACCAAAGTGGTAAAAGTAGGCGGCAACCACGGGCAAGCTACTCTGTTTTTCAAATATTTGAACGTAGCCCATACAGATATTACCTGTAAACCATTCTGGCAGGAAGTGATTTCCAGACCATGGAAAACAAATAAGATTGTTGTGAAAGCAAAATCATGTCATTAATATTCAAAGCTGGAATAAACTTGTCTTTTTTAATTTAAAAAAATTAATAAATAATAATAATAATAAGCAATTTTGCAGAAATATTTGTTTAATTGAATGTATTCCTGATTTAAAAAAACAATTAAGTGAAAATCATTATAAAATCATGACCATGTCAATCATGTGACTAAATTTTGTTGGAATTGTGGATGGAGGTAAGCTTTTACTTTTTGTCTATATCATCAATCACGTTAGCTAAGAAATCGTCGACTCACTGTCAAATTCAAGTGCATTGATAGTTTTGAACACTAAAGATTTCCTAACGCTAAAGATTTCCCTAACTGATGTCCCAGATGGCTGTGATAGTGGCCAGGTTCTGTAATATTTATCCACTGTCTTTCATTCTTAACCTGGGCCGTAGCAACAAAATACGTCCCAACTTCCAGCATATGATGATGTTTTCGGGTAAGCAGTTTTGTTTATGTACACTCTCAAGTAACATCACTTAGCTGTAGCTGCTTCATTTCTGCAATAAATCATCAATCCCCCCCCCCCCCCCATTTCATTATTCTCGTGTACAAATATGTTTGTAATTAGCTTGAATAAAGTCCTTTGGGTGTTCATAGAGAGCAATGAAGGGTTCAAAAGATCATGTTTTATGGGGAATTATGAAAAAAAAATATGTCAATAAATGGTGGCCCTTGTTCAAATAAGTTTATTTCATCATTTAGAATGTCTTTAGTTTTTTAAATTTTTTGGTCAACCAAGCAAGCATCACACTGGTGAAATAAAAAGATTAAACCTTCTTGTAAAAATAATGGAGTTATGATCGACATGAGGAAAAAATGTTGAATTTTGTTGTAAGTCTTATTCCATTCATCTCCGCAGGTTTGAGAGGGGCCATGGCTTTTGCCCTGGCCATCAGGGAGACAGACTCTGAGGGGAAGCAACTCATGGCCTCGGCAACAATGATCATTGTCTTAGCAACTGTGATACTCTGCGGGGGCTTCACCACACCCATGTTGCAGTGGCTGCAGATTAGGTTGGGGTTTCTTCATCTTCATCATTTCGACCCTCTGATGAATTCATGATTATTTCTTAGCCTATCAAGACTCAAGAAACAAAATCTGTGTCCGCCTAAAATACTTCTTTGAAGATGAGCAGTCCACAAGTCTCATCCCCAGCTGTAAAATTGTTGGGTGCTTTGAAGATGAGCAGTCCACAAGTCTCACCCCAGCTGTAAAATTGTTGGGGAAAAATATTTGATCCCATACATTTAAGAAAATAAAATAAAGATTTCTTAGTTTCATTTTGCCGAAATTCAGATAGTAGAAATTTCATGCAGAGGCTTTCAAGAGGAACTTCATTTTAAATGTCAACTTTTATTATTTATAAATTTAAAAAAATCTGGGTGTCAATTTATTTAAACAACACTAAGTCTTTGGTGTTACATTTATTTAGTGTGGACAGTCAATCAATTTTTCTTTTTTTTTTTTTAGATTGATATTTGTCTTTTTTTTTTTTTTTAAATTACTGGGTGTCAATTTATTTAAACAACACTAAGTCTTTGGTGTTACATTTATTTAGTGTGGACAGTCAATCAATTTTTCTTTTTTTTTTTTTAGATTGAGATTTGTCTATTTTTTTTTTTTACAAATCAGGGTTGGTGTTGACGAAACAGAAACAGAGATGCACAACATGGCAGGGGAGTCTGTGCGAAACGTAAGTTTTTAAGTGTAGGCTAATTAACCTGTTTTAAAAGTTGTCACCATGAATGAGAGAGATGTGTAGACAAATCATTCAGAATATTTTTTGTGTGCCAAATATGGGCTAAGAACAACAGAAAAAAATGGGTTAGGTAAAAAAAATAATTTTTAAATGTAGGCGCCATGATAACTGGGTGTTCTAGATTTGCCTACCCCTTGGATAAAGCAATTCAAAAGTTAATTATAAATTTAAGTTGCTTATTTATATAAAAGGTTTCTTGTACAATTTCTGGAAGAATGGTTTTATCCAAACTTTTTTCTTTGTTCTCTCTCTCTCTCTCTCTTTGTGTAGGTCTATGATATAATTTTAAAACTAAATGTATCAATTATTTTGTTTAAACTTTGATAGAATGTATTTCTTGAGTTGAACATTTTATTTGGCAAAATTTATAAGATAAGACTTGGTGATGGTAACATTTTGGCATATGGCTTAAACATAGCCCAGTCTCTTGAGTTTCAAGATCCTACAATGTCTTGACATCACAATTTGCTCATGGGCTGTCGCCTGTCATAAAATGATAAAGTTATTTGTGTGGGGGGGGGGGGGTGTGATAGGTCATCACAGTGACCAGAGAATAGTGTGCCTATCAGGCGACAAGCCATTGGTTGACTACCATCATCATTGTTCCATACACTTTGTTAATTTTTCTATTCCTGGTCGGACAAAAGGCCACGATGGATTACATCTTGATTCAGTTTTACCTGTTTCATCTAGACATTTTATAAACTTGGATCATCCATGCAAAGATGTTCATTTGAAATTGTTCAGAGTTCCTCAGCTTTTGTTTGTTTTAATTTTGTGTTCCCTCCCCCAATAAAAAATGACTTACCCTTTCATTTTATACCATCGCCATCCCAGCTGACCCCAGACATGGTGGTATGTCATTGGCTGTTGTAAGACTTGTGTCTTGACTGTGCTCTCCCGTCACAAGCTTGACTAAAAAAAAACCGCACATTTTACTTTGCTGTTGTGGCTGTCGTTGTTTCTTTATGACACTAACACCGCTGTTTCTCAAACTGACGCCACAGCCATAGTTTTGCTGCTAGCATTGTGGCCGAGCTGAATAACTTCCAATGCTGTTACAGTGACATTTCAAACTGTGACATTTCAAACTGTGACTCTCCAATTATCATTTTAGTTTAATGTAAGGACCTCCTAAGACTAATTGAGGGAGGGCACATTAAATGGTCCATAGAAAATTGTTCATCATAAATGAGCAAATAAAAAAACACATGAATCAGTTTTAAGAAAGAAGCTGTACTTGTATTTTGTTGCATTTTGCAACTGTGCAATATTAAATGAAATACATAATCTAGGCCATGACATCATATTTTAGCAAAATAAATTAAAGGTCATTAAACCATGAGCATTTCTAATTTATAAAATGGTTATCTCCCCGGCACTGTATTAGACTTTTAAAAAAAAATGATGTAAACAAATTCAAACATCAATATAAATTATACAAAATGCAAGTGTTGTCACAGTAATTGAAACATAGATTTTGAAAATAATTTGTGAGTTATTTATTACTTGCTATCAACTAGAAGTTGATGGTTTTATTTTCAAGGACAAAGCAAGATACCTTAATGTAGAACATGTCCCACCAGTGACAGAAAAGGACAGATCTTAACAGCTTGTTTAACTTCGCTGTCTTACTACAGAAACGTGGGATTTTAATAAATTATTCCCTATAAACTATGAAAATATATCGATTCTTAAACAAAAATCTGACAATCACTAATAAAACAGCTTGCAATATTTCTTCTTTAATTTACAATGCTGAAATATTATATTACTGATTTCAATTATTTTCATTTTTTTTTTTTTTTTTGTAAGATAAAGCTAATCTGTGTTTTGAAACCTCTTGTCTACTGGAAGGACTCACAGCACACACTAAAATTTAGAAAGCAGTTGATCAAGGAATGTGGAAGCTTGAAAAGATAGGACAGTAAGAGAAGAACCTTTTGGCTAAGAGCCTTTGTCTTCAGTAATCTTTTATTGTCCTGTCTGTATGTTTCAAGCTTCCCATATACCTAGATCCTCTATTTCCTTCACACAGCTTGAACGCAGTCCTTCATTTATCAAAATCTAGGTCTAGAACACATCTAGAAAAGCAAAAAAATACAATCATTGGCATTATCATGTTTTATCAATCACTGCACAAGGACATACACTACTGACTACAACATTTGATCAGTCGCAGTCACATACACTACTGACTACAACATTTGATTAGTCGCAGTCACATACACTACTTCGTCAACTTCAGTCATGTTATAAAGTTATTGTTTTACATGATGTGATTGGTAACCTCAAAACTGTGATTCTACAGTGTGCAGCAAATTTCATACGCCCAGTTTATATGTGGGTCAAATTAGTCCCATCTGAAATATAAAAGTGCAGGGGGTAAATCTGAAGGGTAGGTGCTGGTGTGCATTCCTGGGCACTGGGTGAAGGATGTTTTAGAATAAGGTCCTTGGGTTGATAGATGTTTTAGAATGAAGTCCTTGGGGTGATAGATGTTTTATAATGAATTACTTGGGTTGATAGATGTTTAAGAAGAAATAAATTCCTTGTGTTGATGGATGTATTAGAATAAAGTGCTTGGGTAAAAGAGATGTCTTTAAAAAAACAACTCATTAATCCTGGATTGTGGTGTGATGTCTCCTGGGTTGTGGTGTGATGTCTCCTGGGTTGTAGTGTGATGTCTCCTGGGTTGTGGTGTGATGTCTCCTGGGTTGTGGTGTGATGTCTCCTGGATTGTGGTGTGATGTCTCCTGGATTGTGGTGTGATGTCTCCTGGGTTGTGGTGTGATGTCTCCTGGATTGTAGTGTGATGTCTCCTGGGTTGTGGTGTGATGTCTCCTGGATTGTAGTGTGATGTCTCCTGGGTTGTGGTGGGATGCCTCCTGGGTTGTGGTGGGATGTCTCCTGGGTTGTGGTGGGATGTCTCCTGGGTTGTGGTGGGATGTCTCCTGGGTTGTGGTGGGATGTCTCCTGGGTTGTGGTGTGATGTCCCCTGGGTTGTGGTGGGATGTCTCCTGGGTTGTGGNTTGGGGTGTTAGTGTGAAAGTATTGTGGTGTTAGGGTGAAATATTGTGTTGGTAGGGTAAAAAATTGTGGTGTTAGGGTGAAAAAAATTTGGTGTTAGTGTGAAAGTATTGCGTTGTTAGGGTGAAAGTATTGCGTTGTGGTGTGATGTCTCCTGGGTTGTAGTGTGATGCCTCCTGGGTTGTGGCGTGATGCCTCCTGGGTTGTGGCGTGATGTCTCTTGGGGTGTGGCGGGATGTCTCCTGGGTTGTGGTGGGATGTCTCCTGGGTTATGGTGGGATGTCTCCTGGGTTATGGTGGGATGTCTCCTGGAATGTGGTTGGGATGTCTCCTGGGTTTAAACTTAAATCATTACTGCTTTCTTGTCTGATGTTAAAGCCTTCTCTTAAAAAAAATAAAACAATAATTATTTTGGCACATGCATATACATGCTTTTGTTGTTGCCATGACAACATTAGCACCATAGCTAACAAGCACTTTATTTCATTTTCCTTAAAGGACTTAAATTTATTGCAATAACCTTAAAAAGTTATGGTATTATATTTTTGTGGGAAATACTTATAGTATCATTGGAAAAATGTAATAACACAACCTATTACTTGGGAACTAAAGTTGTGAACTTTCCTTAATACCCTCTTGTTTCCCGGACTAAAGTTGTGAACTTTCCTTAATACCCTCTTGTTTCCTGGTTGAGAACTACTGATCTAAGTCATAATCTATTAACAAATGGTAAGATTTCGTTTTAAAAACAACAAAACATGTGGATCATTTCTTTGTTCCGGGGCGACTGTTTGTTAGTCCTTGACCCCTTGACCAAATATGTGAAATACTAACCTCAAGTCCTTGAAACAAACACTCGTTCTCAGGCCATTTCCTCGCAGCGCCATTATAACACCATGACCCATCAGGGTGGTTCCTCCAGTCAGTCGTCCACCCTCAGTGGTCAGGGGCCGACTTCGCGGGCCACAATAAACTCAGTATGTTTTGGTTGCCATTAAGCTTCTGTTATGCATGGATCTTAAGTTGCAGATCCTCTTGAATGCACTGTTGCTTCAGTTTAAAAGTTAATCTCTAAACCTTTTGACTTTTAATTTCAGCACGTTCCTGATTTTATAAGACATCTATGATTTTCAACATGTCCAGGCTGTCATTGAAACTGCACATGTCCAGGCTGTTATTAAAACTAGACATGTCCAGGCTGTCATTGAAACTGCACATGTCCAGGCTGTTATTAAAACTAGACATGTCCAGGCTGTCATTGAAACTGCACATGTCCAGGCTGTTATTAAAACTAGACATGTCCATGCTGTCAATGAAACTGAACATGTCCAGGCTGTTATTAAAACTAGACATGTCCATGCTGTCAATGAAACTGAACATGTCCAGGCTGTCATTAAAACTAGACATGTCCATGCTGTCAATGAAACTGAACATGTCCAGGCTGTCAATGAAACTAAACATGTCCGGGCTGTCATTGAAACTAGACATGTCCAGGCTGTCATTGTTGTCACACATGTCTTGAATGGGATATTTAGAATTAAGTTAACCTCAATAATAATTTCATGTTTTGAAAAGCACTGTTTTTATTGTTAAGTGTCTTCCTTTTTACAAATTCACTTTGATGTTGTTTTATGTTACCCTTGTGATTGTCTGGTGAGGACACGCCATGCTGTACATGAGCTTTTGCTTTACAGTTGCATTTACTTAAGCAATGATCTCTCTAGGTCATGGGAGGCAAAAGTAATCGATCAGTGTTATTTGCTTTACAGTTGCATTTACTTAAGCAATGATCTCTCTAGGTAATGGGAGGCAAAAGTAATCGATCAGTGTTATTTGCTTTACTGCACCTGTATTTTTTAAAAACCCTAAAATTAAAATTTATTATTTATTTATTATATTAACAAAAGAATCTTGGTGTTACAAAAATAAGAATAAAGCTAAATTAACTTAAATTCAATCAATATTGACACCAGATAGATATTGTATTAGTTTAGGGGATTGTATGTCTATGCAGTACACTTGGTATCTATTTTATTTGTTAAATTTGAGGCTCATTTTACTGTAATCTTTCAAACAGCTGATGTGTTTCAGTTTAATTAGATATGAGACACTAAGGCTGAAGTAAGTACAAAAAGTCTAAGTTTATAAACTGTGTGTCTGATCTGACATGCATAAAGTTAGTATTAAAAAGTCTTATTTTATTAATCGTGTGTCTGATCTGACATGCATTAAGTCAGTATTAAAAAGTATAATTTTGTAAACTGTGAGTCTGATATTACAAGCATAAGGTGATTTTCCCCTGAATATGGCAGTGCTCAGAATGTCCTCATGTTTAAATAGTTAAAATTAATCTTCTTCACAGAAAACTTCTGCTATGATAGCCCTAAATAACCAGAGCTCTCCTTTACTTGACCAGGTATTTAGTGACAGCAGCAGCATTGTGTCATTTACATTATTTTTTTTTAATAATAGTACTTTTGTTTGGTTTAGAGAGTTTCAGGCCCAAGCATTACAAAAAAAAATTGTTTCCCTATTATTTCTCAGGACTTTTTCAGATTTTTTTTTTTCTAGTGGTAACTAGCAATTTTTTTCTGGTTCAAGATTATTTTATATTTATAAACTACTCTGATGAAATCATAGTTGGATTGGTAACTGTTTTTTAAAAATATTTTTTGCTTTGAGTTAACAAACCAATGTTAAAAAAACAATGGTTTGTTTAACCCAAAGCAAACAATATAAAAAAAAAAATATAAAATATATATATATATATATTTTATATATTAACTACTCTGATGAAATAATAGTTGGATTGGTGACTGTTTATTTAAAATATTGTTTGCTTTGGGTTAAAAAACCATTGTTAAAAAAAAAAAAAGATCTTTTATCTTAGTTCCATGAGCTTGTCCATTACTCTACCATAGTCAGTTTGTTTTGTATTTCTTGAAAAAAACATATGCATTGGTTTGTGTCCATCAGGTTACTTGCTAAAACTAATTAATTGTTTCTGAGATGGTCTTTTGTGCACAATATTATTTTGCTTGCTATCTAACAAGACATGTTTTTTTGTTTTTTAAAAAGGACATGAAAATATGTGTGTAAATCTAAGTGATTGATTAATTCTAACGAGCTTAGAAAATCAAATTGGATTCACTTGAATGCCAGTTCATTCCATTGCCTGATTGCAGTTTTATTTTGCGGCCTTCTTCCATGTTTGCTCAGACTTCTCACACAAACTACATGCTTTATTCTCTTGAGTTTAACAAATCACAGTTTGTTTTTTTGTGCACTTGTTTGGCATACTTTTTACGAGCTTTGAACTAAGCATGGGAGTTATTCTTCACCTTGTCATTGCTGCTCTGTAGGAAGTTCTTCTGACTATCAGGAATAACTAAAACCTTCTTGTGTATAAAAAACCCATTAATATTGGTGGAAATATAGGTTCTTTAAAGAAAGAAAAAAAATTGTATTAAGTGTCTGTAAGAGATGTTATTGTCTATTTTTCTTACAAGCTGCAAATCTAAAAACATCAAGATGAAGAAAAAAAATATCAGAGAAGTGTGTAATGAATCTGACTATAAAAGGGCATCTTTATTTTTATTAATTTGAATGTTGTGTTGTCATAACTTTATGACATTTCGGTTACTCTCATATGAACTTCACCATTCTGCAAAGAGGTGTTATTTTACATTTAAGAAATGTGCTGGAAAAATAATCATAAGAATCTAATTCAAAAATTTTAAGCTTGTGTGTAATTTAGGGAAACTCATTTTGCTATTGACCTCCTCCCCCCCCCCCCCCACACTTATTCCTCACTGTATAAACAAGTAAAACTATAAATGTAGCCAAGAAATGTTTTTGATCAACTGATGGGTTAAAATTTGCTTTGGTCCAGTCCACTGTTCGGCCTTCTGCCTTCATATTTTATTTTATCCTACGATACCATTAAATTTTGAATTCTGAAATGCTGTTTTAGAATAAGTACATCTTTACCGTCCTTGACATGTAAGAAAAATTCTGAAGAGCATACCTCAGATTTATAATTTCTCTTTTCATCCTTGAAGAATTATTGAAGCAAAAGTACCATTTTGTGTATCTGCATTAAAGATTAATCACCACTCTATCAACAGCAATGAATTACCATACAGCAATCATTTCAGTTTGATTCTTTCATCTCTCTGCAAGTCTTATGGAATCACTATTGCCCCTGATTTCCCATATGTTGATTGTTTATGTGATGTTTCAACAGTTGCATTATTTGTGTTGCACATGCACAGCTTGACAAGCCCCTTTTTTTTTTTAAGCTTAAGACTGCATGCACTTTTTTCAGTGTTCAGTCTTTACTTTTTAAAGTGATAACCCATTCAGAATGCACACCAGAGTGCTTTTCATCCTTGAATAAATGTTGTTTTTTAAAAAAAGAATGTACTTGTTTTTTTTTGGTGTTTTTTTTGTGTGTTTTTTTTTTGTCATTTTTTTTTTTTTCTTGGAAATTTTATTTTGAGAAGCTATGCAATTTTTGACAATTTAACATTTATTTGCGTACATTTTTTTACATAGGACATAGAGTAATCTTTTATTTTTTTTTTTTTAAAAAAAAATTTTTTAATGCACACCAGAGTGCTTTTCATCCTTGAATAAATGTTGTTTTTTAAAAAAAGAATGTACTTGTTTTTTTTTGGTGTTTTTTTTGTGTGTTTTTTTTTTGTCATTTTTTTTTTTTACTTGGAAATTCTATTCTGAGAAGCTATGCAATGTTTGACAATTTAACATTTATTTGCGTACATTGTCTGACATAGGACATAGAGTAATCTTTTATTTTTATATTCTTAAAAAAGAATTTTTTCAGTATTTTTGTCACTCTTGTTTTTCAATGTAGCTGTGATCACTATCTGCAAGATTGCTTCTGTTTTAACCATGTATTTGTATGTGCATGCAGATATATGTATGCATCAAATTAAAAACTCTTACGTTTAATAAAAAGATATTACAGTTTAGTAAGAGTGTTTAACAAATTAAGCAGCACCAGTCTGTCTGGTCGTTATTTTAAAAAAAAAAAATCTCTTAAACTCATTTTCATAGAACATTAGACTACTTGCTTAGGTCCAAAGATGTGCTCATCTAAAGTAAAGTCTTGCACAAGAGTTATTACTTTTTATAGCAGCAATTCTCATGGGATTTTTATCCAAATTTATATTTCTTTTAGTTATGAGTAGTACCTTGATGGAAAGCAAAGTTGTGCACTATTTGTCATATAAAAATAATTTATTCAAGCATCTTATTTTTTTTTTAAATCTCCAGCGGCAATCTGACTCATCAACGACTCCTATAGGCCTCCCTTCTTCTACGTCGCCAAGAGTTACTGAAAAAGCCTGGCTAGTTGCCAAGTGGTACAACTTTGACATGAGGTATTTAATATTTGGTAGCTGGGGGGTTTGGTGATTTCTCCTGGGGAGAAGAGATTTGCAGAAAAGTTCTGTTCCACAGCAGTTGACTAAAAATATAACAAAAAAATACCAAATTTCAAAACTCAAATCTCTAATCTCTTATATGTCTTTGTATTTCTTGACTTTGGTCTTGTGTCATATTTTTACGACCTATCATGCTTTCAACTCCTCCTTCCCCCCTCCCTTTTTCTTTTACACTTTTAACCTTTTTTTTTTCATAATGTTTATTATTGTTTCTGGAAACTAAATGAGTGACCAATGACTTGACTCATTAGTGCTGCTTTGTCATGTAAGCTTCTAGACATTTATAGAGCAGTTAAAAAGTTTTTATTTGTTATAAGAAGGATTTAGATAGTGGTTGGAAGGGGGGGGGGGGGAAATTTGGCAGGACAGATTAGGAAAACTCCTTCCCAAAATATAGCTACATCATTTGAATTATGGGCATTTTAGGCAGGGCTTTGAAACCATGATGTAAAATCACAAGATTGTATAATTTAGATTTAGATAGTGGTTGGAAGGGGGGGGGGGGTAATTTGGCAGGACAGATTAGGTAAACTCCTTCCCAAAATATAGCTACATCATTTGAATTATGGGCATTTTAGGCAGGGCTTTGAAACCATGATGTAAAATCACAAGATTGTATAATTTATTCCATAAATTGTAGGAAATATATTTAGCTAATATGGTAAATGCCTTTTTTAGGGGAAAAAAAAGGTTTTAAACATTCTATTTTTTCCAATGCATTATGGCATAAAAGTTCTAGATACCGGGTATATAAATACAATGACTAGCTTATGTCTACAAACCATATTACACTGTTTTACCTCAGAATTTTTACATGATTTCTTTTCACTCAGGTTTATGAAACCTCTCCTGACCAATTGTAGACCGACGCTAATGGAGACTTTACCAAGTTGTTGCCTCCCTTTTGCTAGAGTTTTTACCACAGAGGAGCAGATAACTCAGGTCTGAATTTTTGTCATTCCTCCCAAAATAGATGTGATGGATTTTTAAAAAAAGATCTGTCCCCATTATTTTGACTGAAATTGTTCCATTGTTTTAACATATCTTGTTCCACTATTTTCTGTAAATGTTTAGTGTAAATTTTATTTTAAAGACTTACAATTTTAATTCACCAAAGGAAGTTAATATCAAATCCAAAAAAATATATTTTGAAGGGAGATTTCCTTTTTGAAAAAAAGGAAAGGTTTTGCTCATGCAAATTTAGTAAATTGTGCTCCCCTTTTTAACACACGCACACAACTTTACACACACCCACAAAACATTCCCCCCCCCCCATTTATGATGATGTGAGCTTGAGTTTTGATATCTGCCATTGTTTTGATGTATCCCAATGAAGGGGGAGGTTCACATTGATGAAGATTCAGACACAGACATGATCCTGGACCAGGGAAGTCTGTCTCTCGGCGGAGATTTCACCGGCGGCAATGAAGCAGGCGGGCACGGGGACAGCCACGACCTTTCGAATGTCTCCTCCTCGCCCTGGGCGACCAAGGATCCCCTGCAGGTAGGACTGGCACAGTACTCTGCTGTTGAAGTTTTCTTTGAATGCTTGTTTTGTTCCCTATAACAGAGCGGTCGTGCCTACGATTTACATTTTCTCACAATAATTTTTAGGTGGTTAATGACTTCTTACGCCCTGGCATGATATGTAAATGAGATGAGTTGGTTTTTTAGAGACAGAACATTACAAGCATGACGGTACCCAAATGTTTTTTTCGTAAAAAAAAAAAGTATTAAAAAAAAAATTGTTTATTTGTTTTGTGGAGTTCATAAAAAAAAATCGAGTTTTTTTTCCAGAATATGACCGTGCATGAACAGGCTGACATTAGATATGTTGTGTTTACTTATCACCTTGAAATTGTACCAGGTGTGCAACTTGAGAGAAGGTTTTAGTGACCACAGCGTTCAGATTTCTACTCAAAAAATTTAATAACAAAAAATTTGTTTCCCATCTAATGAATTGTTGTACTGAGAAGGAAAACATTTTTCTGTTCTCAGTATTTTTTAACCCTCTTGAGACGACTAAAATGGATTGGCCCAGAGTCGAACGGGGAAAATACGAATGGCCGATCCATTGGTCCATATAATACAAGCCCCAAGATATGCTGGCCAGTCTTTTTACCAGCTAATTAGATCACTTCTATCATTTCTTGCTCATCTCCTTCCTTTGATAGTTTACGGCGTTATGTCATTTTATAGCAATTTATTTTGTACCTCGTGACACCTAAAAATTCTTAAAAATATCTGAACTTGAAATATGCCAGTGGAATATTTTATGCAGCTGTTCACATTGAATCTCACTCAAATATTTGTTAGGGCTTATTAGGCTTAAAAAAAATCAGAAAATTCAACAAAATTCTGCAAGTAATGCATGGTTATTCTGAGTCTAAAAAGAAATTACTTGTGTAAATTATGCATATGAGGATATCTCATTTGCATAAATGCTGAGATTTCAGTTTGATTCATAAAGATCGTATTAGTTCATTCAATCCCCTACTAGAATATTTATAGTTTTATATTTGTAAAATAATTCGTTTATATTTTTAATAAATTTTTTTGCCAAGTAAGAACAGGGCTTGTGGAAAAGGTTCAGCTTCCTTGGCATCGACAGTCCAAAAATGCTACGTCTCAAGAGGGTTTAAAAGAAATCTGCATCTGACTGGCATAACAACAATAATTTGTAGTGTTCTTGTGTTGCCTGTTAAAAAATTTTTAAAGGATAAACTCTAATAATACAAAGTGTCCAACTAGGCATGCAGGGGAACTATTCCCTTCTCCAATTCGATGGGAGCAGTTACTCTGTTTCTATGCCCAAACAGAATTTGATGTTAAACAAGTGTTTGACTCAGCTGTTTCCTGCGTCTGTCAGAGACACACAATAAGTAAAGAAGTGTGACACCTTAAACAACATATAAGTTTATTGTATGTTTTATGTGCATACACTTTTTTTATGGTGAAAAAGTTTTAGCCTTGATTTTTTTTACTGTTTAAAAAAGAAAAATCAATGTTCTGAAAGATAAAGACCAAAGTTAGAGGAAATGTTAAAACATTATCACTTAGTAGTTTCAGGTGATTGCTAGCAACAAACTTGGCTACTTGACTGTACGATTGTTTGCAAGGTTTCTCTCTACGCATCAGCTTCTTCTAGAATGCTAGCTCAGCCGCTGATATAAAAAAGCAAATATTTTATTAGAGATTAAAGCTTAAAATTTCTCTTAAAATTGTTGACCTGCTCTCAAACCCCCACCCCCTCACATAATGTACCTGACACATCCGATTATCACAAGTATCCAGACTGAGTGCTAAATGTATAAATGTTTTGCAACACTGCATGGCCACAAGATCTTATTCAGTCACTGATATTGTGTTCTTGCATGAGCAAAGTTAACAGTTTTGGTTGGTCAGCTCACAGTGCCCTCCAAATATTTTTTTACAAAATTATATTTTGCTGTTGAATATTTTCACGTATGATTATGAATATATTAAATAATTATCTATTTTATTTTTATATTTTTAATATATTTTTTTATAGACATTTGAGCTTTAGAAAAGTAAGTAGGGCTATTCCCTGATGGGGTTTAGTTATTTCAACTTGAGATCTCTTGAACACCTTTATTCCTGTGTCTCTCTAGCCTGGTTCTTTCTTTTTGACAATTCCCAAATTCAACACCCCCCCCCCCCCCTTTTTTTTTTTTTTAATTTAAAAAAAAAAAAAAAAAAAACCCCCCCCTTTTTTTTTGTGTTAAATTTAAAAAAAAAAAAAAAAAATTTTGACTGTTGTCCTTTATTTAAAATCTCCAACAAAACATTTAAAAATTTTTTTTTATTGCAAGTTTGGACTAGTGTACTTTGGGACTCAGTGTGAGAAAAAAGTAATTGTGGTTATCAAGTTGTGAAAATGAGGTCATTTAAAAACATAGCTTTTGGACAACTAATACCAATGTGACCATAAAATTTAATATACTGTAGTTCATCTTCATTTGAGAAGAATCGCATGTTGTCGTTGTTTTTTTTTTATGTGTGTTTTTTGCTCTTTTTCTTTTATCAGTGAATTAAATTTGCATTATGGAGTAAGGCTAAAGAGTAAGAATGAATCAAACTAGACAATCATAACTGTTCATGTAGATGTTATTTTAAAAAAAAAATATTTTTTTTATTGCTGCACTAGATCCACATATTAATCTAATCTTGCTGGTATTACAATCATCACAGCCAGCGGCATCATCCACCAGGATGTCCCGTTTGAAAGTAATGGGACGTGACATGCTAACGAACGATGCAAATAAGTATAGAATAAGGAGGTCACCAATAGTGAGCTGAAACCTCCTGATGTCAAAATCGTTGACATTGAATATTTCATTTCTGTACTTTTGTCAAATGTTGGTTTATTTTTTTTTAAACCTCCACAATGTAATCTTTCTCTTACAGCTAAAGGATAAATTGCTGATTTTTAAAAAAAAAATTTGTATCGTAATTTTTTGCATTTTTAAATTTTGTTTTTTGTGAACACCTTTAAGAAAAAATAAAAAAATAATAAAAGTTGTTCACACAAAACAGAAGAATATAAAACTAAATGCAAAGAGTTGATATAATTATCAACTTTTCGCATCTAATTTTTATTTCTTTTGTTTTAACACCTTTAATTTTTTTAATTTTATTTTTCTTTACAATTTTTTTTTTCCATTTCTTCTCCCTGTCTACCTACCCCCCCTCCCGCCCCTGCTCCTTACCTCTGTCTGTGCCCACTTGTGGGAAATGTTCCTTTAGATGGAGGAGATGAATGTAGAAGACGGTGATGATAGACCTATCACTCCCTGAGTGTTGGGGGCCACTAGTTGCGTCCCTTTGGTCATGTAAGCATTCAACTGTTCCTGTCTGTCACATTGTCAGTCTTTGATAACCAGACACTGGTATTTAATCATGTCACATTGTAAGTCTTTATAACCAGACTCTAGTATTTAATCATGTCACATTGTCAGTCTTGATAACCCAACAATTCTGGTAATTAATCAGGAAGGAATTTGACATTCATATAGCACAGTGGTTCTCAACCTTTCTAATGCCGCGACCCTTTAATACAGTTTCTCGTGTAAATTTTGAAATGAAATCACTTTATCTGTGTTTAGTTTAAGAAACACCAAATGTATTAAAAATGAAATAACATCCTTTCTCAGCTAGCACTATATAGCTACCGTCTATAGATATTTGACCTTTGAGCCTTGGCCTAGCTGTGATGGGAGAACAAAACTAAAATATTTACAGAAAAAGACAAATTATGAATAAGGACATAAATTTGTTACGGTACCAAAATGTCAAATTCTATTCCTGCAACTGGCTATAGGAAAAAAAAAAAAACTCTCTTAACCAGTGTTTCCCAGACATTTTTAAACAATTGCTCAAATTGAACTTCATTTAAAAAAAACATGGATTAGTTATGTTTTCCTATTCTAGTTAAACTCTCACTTACACATTTAATTTTTCTAAAGCTGCATTTTTCATTCATAGATTTAAAATTTTTTTTTACACTTTAGTGTGGGCAAACAGAATAATGTTATTGCCCCATTGTTTAAGAGGAAAATGAGATCTGAAAATATTCTCATATGTTGTTTCTGTTTTGGAACCACTGAATGAAGTAGTCTCATATGTTGTTTCTGTTTGGGAACCACTGAATGTAAAAAAAAAAACCAAAAACTTATTAGTCTCCTTAGATTATTACTTCAAACATATATTATAATAAATTGTATAGAAAAGTATAGTAATGTCAGTTTTACTCATCACAACACAATTCTCTTAACAATGCCTATAACAGGTCATAGTTTTTATTGATGGGTCTCTCTGAATAAAGCAGTTGTTCTCTTGGTGGTGGCATCCTATCTCCCTTGTGTCTGAGGGTATTTAAAGTGTACAACAATTGAAGAAAAAAATATTTTTTCTATCATATCAGTTTCGAGTTTTCCATGTGTACTGTCAGTGTGACATGTCCTGTCATTAGTTGTCATTGTGACATGTCCTGTTGTGAGCTGTGACAAGTCCTACTTGAGTAAATAACTATTTTATTTTGAAATTGGAAAGGAAAAAAAAAGTTTGAAAAAAAAAGCAAGCATCTAAAATGTGGTTGCATCTTCCTTGCCAAAAACCCCCCCAAAAATAATAATAATAAAAATAAACCACTGGTTTTTATTGTTCTTTCTTGGTACCGGTATAAAGTTTTATTTGAACAAGATCAAACTTATTAGCTCAGTGCATCATATCTGTAGAAAAATTAGGAATTTTCTTTCTTCACACAACGCATGATTTGAAATATACACACTTTAAAATTCTTTTAAAATGGTATTTGCAATAGGAAAAATTGCTTGTGGAAACAATGGACTAGTTGGGCATTAATTACTACACTGTTTCATTTCACTAACCTGGGCTGATGCATATGTTGAGTCCTATTGCAAAACCTGCTAAGTAACATCTGGTTGTTTTTGAGATAAAGCTGTCTTTGTAAATTAAATTTCTTTGGCATTTACATTTTTTTTATGCTGAAATTTTAGACTAAAGCTTTTGATTCATTAAATACATAAAATACATAAAATAATGTAGATTGATAGTTTTAAAAAAACTGCCAAAATTGTTCAATCATTTCTTTTTTAAAGTACGTAGCAGGTTTTGCAATCAGACTCCTCATATATTTAGGTTAATATTATTATCAATGCTTATAACAGAAGCGCATGTTTATTTCTTTGTGACACAATTACTCATTATCTCTTCTTTACTTTTATCTCTAACTTGTCAAACTTCCTTTTTAAAAAGAAATACATTTTTTAATTTTTTTGTAAACAAGTCAAAGTAAAAAATTAGCTCAGAGTTTGAACATTTGTAGTATCGGTATTTAGATTTGCTTACAATCCCTCCCAAATATTAATACTAATGATAGTAGTTTGTTCTTCAAACATTTTTTTAATATTTATTTTTACTTCTCTGGTTTATGGTTTTGCTATGAATTTGGCCCTTTTTTTTTCCTCCTCAGAGTTGTAACAAATTCTGTTACATTTCTCAACACAAAGAATTATCATGTGCTATTGATGATTATCATTAAAGATCATTTTATTTTTTGTTGGACCTCAATAAATACTAAATAAATCTCCTTTTCAAAGCATATTAGTATTAGATTGTTTGTTTTAAAATAGATATAAAATAAAATATTTGTTACAGTAATTCTTTTTTTTTTAAAGTAAACAACAATAATATGCCAGGGGTTTTATATTATTTTCTGATCTGTAATCAGCTTTCAAGATTGATCATTTACCAAAAGCTTTTATTATAATCAGCTTTCAAGATTGATCATTTACCAAAAGCTTTTATTATAATTTAAAGATTTTTCTGACTTAAGTTACAATCTTCTGAGTCCCACAACTAATTTTTTAAACTTAGATATTGTGTGTTTTTTTTTTCTACATTAATGACCATAGACTTTCTAACAAAGTAAATTTTTTGTTCGTCCAGATCCCCCTTAGACATCCCAACAACCTAATAATCTATTTATTTAAAGATCATCATAGATTAATTTATGGGCAAACAGAATGTGTAGATGACATTTAATTAATGACATTAGATGAGCTATTTAATCATTTAGAAATTTTTATAATAATTCTGCTAAGATCCTTTCGCTTGTGCTGGTCTGAGTCTACTAATGTCAATGCTTTGGTTTTGGTAAAGCTGGCAAATCATCTAATATGAATATATATTTAAAAAGAAATTTTTCTAATACCATGATTGAAACAATGTGCAAAATATAAATTATTAAAAATCACTGCCTCTGAGGTCACATGAGAAATCTGGCTTTTGATAACTATAACATATTGGTAGAAAGAGAAAATAAATATGAAAAAGGTGGTTTTAACAAAATTAAATTATATTTTAAGAACTTCACATTTGCCTGTTTTGTTTCGAACCACAATTTTATTCTAAGTTTACGTAAATAAAAGTATTATTTAAATAAAGAAAACTATGTTTAAGCCTGAATTTTTTTTTTTTTTGGGTACTTGAAAGAGTTATTTGGACAAGAAAACTCAATACACGTATAGTTTTTAATCCTCATTTATTAAAATAATATAAGGCCAGTTGTTGTGCATATTATTCTTAAAAATCATCTTTATAAAGGTGTTCTATATTTAGCCATCATCTCCTCATCTTATTTTCACAGAATCTGGAAGATTCACATGTGGGTGACCTTGGCCTTGGTTTAACCAATCAAATGAACACCATTCCGATGAGGGTCAATCTCCCTGGGCCAAAAGGTGACAGGGTGTGAGATGCCACCTGCCGGTTATGTGAAGGTGCCCCAAGTACCTGGACTGTAAATTTATGCTTTTTTTTTTTTTTAAATGAGATTTTGTGAGGAAAGATTCAATGTTGGATGTTCTGAGAAAACAAAACTTAAGATAAAGAACACATTTTTCATACAGGGTGTGTTCAGAGTTAATTTTGACTTACAACTTTCTAAATCCAACTTGCGGACATATTATTTTAATTAGCTATTTTTTTTAGTCATATCATTAAATGTGTTTAGTGTGCGCCTTAAAATATTCACATTTCTTCAAATGTGGACTTCGGCTAGATGTAGTGTTTTGACCTTAGACTGGATGTATTGGAGCAGAAAGGAGCTAACTTTATTGTCAGTGTCAAGTGTAGTTAACCCTCATGTGATTAGTGTCCTTGACCATGTTCCACATTCCGCCTTGTTGACCGTGAGGAGATTTTGTGAATGTATTTGTGTGTGCGCGCGTGTGTGGCCTTTAGCTTTATTTCACAACAATGATTCCTCCCTGTATCCTCTTTCATGTTCTAACCATGAGAGTGAATGAGAATCGTCTTGCATTAGATGTACGCTGTCAAAATTTCATTTTCACTCAAATAGAGTTGGTAGTTTTTTAAAATTCTTGTCCTAAATGAATGATCCCTATCATCTCTTTCAGTGCAATGCATGTCATATGTTATGTTTAAGTGAAGTCCCTTCTCCAATGTTGTGTGCTAGTTTAAGGCGCTGCTTCACTAATAAGTGAGTTTGTCTTTTTTTTTTTTTTACTATGATATTTCACCCAAATTATATTTATAATTTGATAGTCTGTAAAAATAAAATATATAAAAAAATACCGGTATATAAAAAGAAAAAAATGCAAATCTTATATGTATTTAAAATGAAAATCTTATGTTATAATTAAGAACTTAACCGTTAATGTGGGGGGGGGGGTGTTATAATTAAGAACTTAACCGTTAATGTGGGGTGGGGGGGGGTTGAAGAGAAATCGGTTTCCTGTAAATACAAGTGGGACATATTAAATCTGAAAACTTTTTACACACATATATTGAGTAGGATTTGTATTTCAAAATATTATTTGATCGAATGTAATAGTCTTAAATAATCAAAAGTATGGTGGCCTCATTAGGTTAAGAAGAGTTATCTGGGTCTGTATGATTATCAAGCAGTTAGCGCCTGCCCCCCACACCCCCCCTTTTAATGTTTCCATGCAAGGATGTTCAATAGAGCTGTGAATCTTTTTTACATAAAAAATGTTTAAAAATTTGTACACATTTGAGCACAGCGTTTGCACTTTCACTCAGCTGTCAGAGTGAATCAAAGCTTGTATTACATAATTACAGCAGTTGTTGACATTTATTTGTTAGAATTTTTTTGCACATGGCATTCATTTATACTAAGCAAAAAAAAGAAAAAAACTCTGAATGACAAGCTGTAAATGCTGATAAATTATTGGAAATATTGGAAATAAGTCCATAAGTTGTTAAGTTATCATCATCAGCTAACAAAGGGGGCCTAAAAAGCTGTAAAGAAATGCATTTCAGAAAGTATTTGCTGATAAATTATTTGAACTATTGGAAATAGTTATATAAAAAGTTATAAAGTTATCATCCTCAGCTAACCCAAGGGTCCTCAAACTATGGCCTGCTGGCCAGATCCAACACCCCCCCCCCTACCTCCACCCCTTGTTTAAAATGTTTGAGGGATCCCTGAACTAACCAAGGGAGAAAAAAATGACATCAGTCAAAATTTGGGGATGAGAAATAAATTAATTTTTGATTCTGAAAGGAAGCAGGCAACTATTCTACGGAACAATAGAACAAATATGTATGTGCATTTATAAGAGACCAGACATTTTTATATTAAATTGATGTCATCCTTGTGCTAAAATTTTTACATTTTCCAACATTTGAATTTATCATGTTCCAGTTTTAATGTTCTAATTCTGTTAATATAGTTGTAAAATTAGGTGAAGTTTATGCCATTTGAGAGACAGACAATTCAGCCTTATGAATGACAGATGTGCCAACTATTTGGTAGAATGTTTACCAAGTGGCTGAGTTGTCTGTCTAGCAAATGGCTGGCACATCTAACATGTCAGCCCTTTGGAAGAGAGAGACATAACTCTAACAGTATATCTTGCTATGCATTGTGAGACTTTTGTGTTCGCCTGCTGGCTAGTGAAGACTTACATGTTGTCCTTTAGTGATAAATTTTACATGATCTCCTGGTGATGAATCCATGTCTGTGATTGTTAAAAAGATACAATACCATCTAGTGGGATGAAGTCACTGTGCCAAAGGATCACTTGTCTCTTGCATATTTTGGGCCATGTGACAGGCTCGTTACAAAAATCGGTTACCCAGAATGTGCTCAGCATATACTCTGTAATTCAAGGGGTCGGCACAATTATTAACATTTAATTATAAAGACATGTATAAAAATATTTTCATAATTTCCCTTATGTGAACTGGTGTAGCAGCTTTAAATAACAAATTCAAATTATTTCACAAGGACAGAGTAAATGGTTTTCTTTCACCCGGAGAGTGTAGATGGCTTATTTTTTTTTATAGTTTAGTTCTACACCCCTCCAAAAACTACATTTGATATTTCTCAATGTTTTCCTTTAGCTCAAGTCAGTGGATATATCGCTAAAGTGTCACATACCGGTATTTATCCTTCTGATCCCACACAGCAAATTGCTAAAATTATCTGTGTGTGTGTGTGTGTCTACTTTGTGACAAATTAGCATTTGTTTTGATCACTAGATATTTAAACCATCCTATGAGCTGGTCTTGTGATGTGTTATGAACAAATATCCTTTCGAGCACATTTGAGTTGCTGATCATTCCTTATTGCACATAATACATTGAATTATTCCTAGTTTTTAAATGTTTCTTTGCCATCAGATGTTTTATTTTCCATTCAAAGTCAAGGCAGTGTAGTAAAATTTGTTTTAGTATTTGACCATGTTTTTTCACCTTGACTTAACCATGTCTTAATGTGGATATTATAATCAGGAGAATCTACTGGAAAGCTGCTATCTGAAGCACTGTCATGTATTTCTCTTTATGTCTAAAATCTCCAGACTTTAATAACTAAAATTAATGACTGTGTATATATCTATTTTTTTCTTTGAATTAAAAGATTCTTTGTACATAAAATGACATTTAATTACAAGTAGGTTTGTATCATTTTCAACTATATTAATTAATATTATACCGGTACTTGTTTTCTTATACTTATAGTTTTATTGAAAAGTTTTTTTTAAAATTGTCTTTTTTTCCCCCACTTTAAATAGTTTTTTTTATATTAAAGTTAGCACTTAAAAATTAACAAAACTTACATTTGTGTTTGGAAAAATGTCAAACAGCCTTTCTGGGATATGTACCATTATATTATGCAAAACTTTTCAAAACTGACTGAAATTGAGGTCAATTACTTCTTATATTCATTTGCTAATTTGCATTGTTTTAAATGCATATATTACAATAGTTTTGTGCTTTTATTAATTCTGAGTGAGATTTTTGGTAAGCCTTGTTGTAACTAGGGGGGGGATTGTTGTAACGTAAGCTGTTTCTAAACCATCAAAGCACTTCCAGCTCTTTGTGCTTTTATTATTTATATTTATGATTGGGGAAAAAGGTCTTAAATAAATAAAAGCCTATTCTTTGTGAATTTATTGGGAGATAGTGGAAGGATTTTTTTGAAATGAAGTTATGCTTTACATCAAATGGACAAGAACAAATCAATGCTGTCAAACTGACACATAGGAAGAGATAAAATTCTCAATTAAAAAATTCAGCACGGAGAGTGGAAAAAGCTCTACTTCATTGCAGCGCCAGAAAACCCAGTTCACATTTGATTAATTTTTAAAGTTAAGAGTCCATTTCTTAAAATCGTGTACTTGGAAGCCACTCTTTCTCATGTCAACAATATTACAGTGAAACAAGTTGTTTGCCGAACAGATTTTAAAATAGTTTTGCAATGTGAATACTCTTTATATTTTGCCCACCCGTTGGTTGGTGCACCTCTATCAATTTTTGAACCTTGTATATCTAATCAAGCATACATTTTATCATTATATTTGCTAAGATGCCCTGAGAACTGCTCTGTGTCACACATCTGGGTAATTTTTGCACAGGTATAATTTACACAACTTAAAATAGAATGTTTATTTTGTTTTCCTTACATCCTCAACAAGAATCTGCACTGTTTTGCTGTGCCCTTTAGAAGCCCATGTGACCTTATTAAGGGAACCAATCACTCCACACACAAAATCCTCTAGTAGAATTGGATAAGAAAGGGAATCAAGATTTCAACATTGAAGCCTAATGAGCACACTCTGATCTGGTTTGTTTGCTCAAAGAAATACTCTCAAACATCATATCCTTACATCTGTACATATGTGTTGATTCAATTATTTCTGGATTAAATTAATAGTTGTAGTAACAGCTATCAGTGAGTGCTATCAGATGACTATATTTTTTAAAATTTTGTATGGCCACACACTGCATGCTGCTATAGGTATGAAGGAGTTCAGTTTTGGCCTGACACTGCATGCTGCTATAGGTATGAAGGAGTTCAGTTATTAAGGTGGAAAGTTCTTTACCATTATAGTGTCCTTCTGTTTTAATTGTTGGATTTGTCTCCGCTGTTTGTTAGAAAAATCATGCAATGTAAATAAAACGGTTGCTTATTATTAGACTTCAGCATTCTGACTTTACAATTGGGCTAACACTACTGTACATTACTTTATTGATATTTCAGTTAAAATATTGTACATAACACTATTAATTTTAAATTAAAAGATTTGAAGAAGATGTGTCAGGCAAAATGGAGCTCTCTTTGAAAATACGCTTCTGCAATATTTAATGTGACAACTTTTGCTTTAGATCATTTTAAAATGGGGCAGTTAATCTCTTTAATATTGAATGTGTCAAAAACATGTTTCAAACAAAGTTTTGTAAGATCACTTGAGGAAATTTAAAAAAATAATTTTTGTTTGCATTGCTTTAACTCTGTACCAGTGACCAGTGGACAATGTCGAGTCAAGCAATTGTAATAAGTTACAATTTCTTATCTTTTCTTGAGACATTAAAATAAAGCATGCGATTGGTTTGAGTTTAAATTAGAGGTTTTCTTATCCAAAGGTTCTCAAAATTGTAGCTACTTGTTTCTGTAGATCTTCATTAGAAGTTACTAGCTAATCAGACCAACATTGTTCACAATCTATGTCACAATTATTAGAACCACTGACCCAAAATAGTTAGTATTTCTTTTGAAATAATTTGCAAGTCACAAAAAGTACAAAGTGGAAGGCCAATTCCTGAACTTTATTTAACCAAATTAATCTGAAATGTCCAATCATTATGGATTTGTTAGGATCATGTTGCTGCCACAATGGTTCTTGCTTTATTGAAGTCCTTAAAAAAAAAATATCCATTTGATGTTCTCTCATTCTCCACACTAGTGAATACGTCATACTGTATTTGGCTGTTCGTTTGAAGGCTATGTTATTTCAGTGCAACATAATTATTGCTGTTGGCTTAATTTGAACGTTTTGTCATATTCAAGAAGTCTAATTTCATCAATAGCCAGCTACTAATTTCTGCATTGTGAATGACATCTAACATCACTTTTTTTTAAAGTAACATTTTATAATTAATTAAAAATTAACAAATTGATATACATCCCAAGAACATTAACAAGAGCCATTACGTATAATGAATTTAGAAAAACTAACCTATTTGAGTTGAAGAATTAATTATTAACAAACAATTATGCATCTTTTCCTCCTTCATTGACTGA